TTGTTACAACCCTTAACGATAGCCGAGTGGAAATGGGAGCGTGTTACCATGGATTTTGTAGTTGGGCTTCCTAGAACACAACGAGACAATGACGCCATTTGGGTGATTGTTGATAGGTAGACTAAGTCTACCCATTTCATTCCGATATGCACCAGCAACTTAGTCAAATGCTTGGTAGAGTTATACATTAGAGAGATAGTTCGACATCATGGAGTCCCTGTGACTATTGTGTCGGATAGGGATCCTTGTTTTACTGCCCAGTTATGGCAAAGCCTTCAAGAGGCGTTGGGAACTATGTTGACTCTTAGCACCGCTTATCATCCTCAAACCGATGGACAGTTGGAACATACCATTTAGATTTTGGAGGACATGCTTGGAGCTTGTGTCCTTGATTTTAAGGGGCCTTGGGAAAGGCACTTACCATTGATTGAGTTTACTTACAATAATAGTTACCAAGCTAGTATTGGAATGGAATCATTTGAGGCCTTGTATGACCAACCTTGTAGATCACCGGTTCGTTGGGCTGAAGTGGGTGATGCACCGTTACTGGGTCCGAAAATTGTTAAAGAGACAACCGAGAAAGTTGTTCTTATTTGGAAGAGGTTAGCTACGGCCCAAAGCCGACAAAAGAGTTATGTCGATAAGAGGAGACGATCTTTATCTTTTGAAGTTGGTGACCATGTGTTTCTAAAAATCTAACTAAGACAGGGTTTGATGAGATTTGGTAAGAGTGGTAAATTATCTCCAAGGTTCATTGGGCTTTTTGAGATCTTAGAGCGAATTGGGGAAATGGCATACCGGTTAGTTTTACCGCCACAACTTTCGGGAGTTTACAACATATTTCATATAGCTATGCTTAGGAAGTATGAACCCAACCCTTCTCATGTTCTTGATTGGGCTGACTAGGAGGTAGATGAGGATGCCTCTTACGAAGAACGACCGGTTCAAATATTAGATACTTGGGAGCAAGTGCTACGGGGCAAAACTCTACCGTTGGTAAAAGTATTGTGAAAGCATCATGGGCTTGAGAAAGCGACTTGGGAACGTGAGTTGAAAGTCTGAGAAAAATATCCGGATTTGTTTGTTGATGCATGAGTACGTAATCGAAATTTGGTTATGTTAGTGAATAGTATGGGCATTGTATATGTTTTAACTTATGAGTTATTGTTGTTTTGGGGGGAAAAAAAAAAAACACATGGATTCAATATAATGATGGCATATGTTTTGAGAATATGGAATATTGTGGGTGTGGTATCACTTTTGGAAACATTGAGTATACGGTGTAAAAACTTTTGAAAATTTTGACTTTGATTAAACATCGTAAATGTTTTGGGAAATTGTAAATTTCATTTTGATTGGGACTTATGAGTCGAGTCGTTGGGAATGGATGACCGGAGAATGGGTTATGGTGATGTAATTGTAAGAATAGCCTTGTTGTGGCTAGTGTAATTATGATTTTGGACTTAATTTGAAATTTCGAGAATGAAATTCTTTAAGGGGGGAAGGTTATAGCGATCCAGGTCTTTGACTCGTCCTTGTGGTGTTCTGGACTTGGATTTCATGGTTAGAAAGTATTATCTACGTCTTTTCTTCCTTCTACTCTTTGAGTTTGAGTTTTGGGATGTCTTGGGAGTGTTTGGAACTGGTTAGTTACAAGTTGTTCAAACTTTTGTCGTCCAGAATTTTGGCTCTTCGCTTGAATGAGGCTTCCTGCGCTCGAGTGAGCTTTGTGAGCTCCCAATACTTTTGCAAAAAAGAGTCCTTCGCTCGAGCGAAGCTTCTTGCACTTGAGCAAGGAGTGCGTCTGAAAAACTTCTGAAGCTTGGTATTTTATGCTCGAGCGACGCTTCTTGCACTCGAGCGAGACGACCTGTTTGTGTCTGGTCGCTCGAGCGAGAACTCCTTCACTCGAGCGAGCCTGTCATATATCAGTTCACAGTAGCGCCGTTTTGCTTCATTTTTCTGATCCCTTTCACTCAAAAACCCTAAATCAGCTCCTTCTCTCTCTAGGGTTCGACTTCTCTCTAAAAATACACCTAGATCTAAGGATCTCTTCACCCTAGGGTCTTTAGGAAAAGGGTATAGGGCTGCAAGTGTTTCATTTTGATCCAAGAAGAAATTGGTTTCGTCATCTTTGAAGTTCCACCTTGTGGCTTGGGTTTTCTACACTTAAGGTAGGGATTTTCTTTGAGTTATATATATATATATATATATATATTTATATTTGCATGATCTAGATGATTTTCGAGAGGCACTTTCCCTTAGTAAAGTTTGCCTATAACAATAGCTTCTAGTCGAGTATTGGTATGGCACCGTTTGAGGCCTTGTATGGTCGACCGTGTAGATCTCCTATGTGTTGGGCCGAGGTGGGTGATGCACCAATGTTGGGTCTAGAGTTAGTCCGAGAAACGACAGAGAAAATTACACTCATCCATAAGAGGTTGGTTACGGCTTAAAGTTGTCAGAAGAGCTATGCCGATCGTAGGAGGAGACCATTATCCTTTGAGGTAAAGGATCACGTCTTCTTGAAAATATCACCTAGACGGGGTTTGATGAGGTTTGGGAAGAGTGGGAAGTTATCTCCTAGATTTATCGGGCCTTTTGAGATCCTAAAGCGGATTAGAGAGGTAGCTTATCACTTGGCCTTGCCGCCACAGCTTTCGAGGTTCATGACGTATTTCATATATGTATACTTCGGAAGTATGAGCTGGATCCTTCACATGTATTGGATTGGACTGAGTTAGAGGTTGACAAGGATGCCTTGTATGAAGAGAGACCCCATTAGAGTTCTAGATATTTGAGACCAAGTCTTGCGAGGCAAGACAATTCCTTTGATAAAAGTGTTGTGGCAACACCATGGGGCTGAGGAGGCCACTTGGGAGTGTGAGGCGAAAGTCCGTGAGAAATATTTTGACTTATTTAGTGATGTTTGAACATGTATTGAAACTCTATTATGTTAATGTAATATAAAAATTGTATATGTTTTGAAAATTTAAATTGTATATTCAGTAATGAGTAGATATTTATCTTGTTGATGAGAATGGATGACCGATGGATGGGTCATGGTGATGATTTGAAATTATTATCAATGTTGTAATTGGTCAAAATGTGGTTTTAACATTTGATTTAAAATTTTGGGGATGAAACTCCTTAAGGGGGGAGGTTATAGCATTTCTGGTTCAGACCCGACCCATTATATGTGTTGAATCTGAGTTTCGTTGTCGTTTATAGTTATTCATGTCATGTTTCTACTTATACCACTTTGAGTTTGGCTTTTGGGTCATGTTGGTAGTGTTTGGAAGAGGTTGGTAGCTTGTTTTTCAAACTTTTGTTGCCCAGATTTTTGCCCCTTTCGCTCGAGCGGTCTTTGTGAAACTCCAGTACTTTTGTAGGTCTACAAAAAATACTGTGAGTTTGTATTCTTTGCTCAAGTGAAGTTTCCTGCGCTCGATCGACAACCTTTGTCTGCAAAACTTCTGAGAGTGTGTATTCTACACTCGAGCGGAACAACTTATTATGTTCGGTCGCTTGAACGACAAGTCTTGCGCTCGAGCGAACTATACGTATATTAGTTTGTAAAATCACTTTTCTAAGTTACTTTTTCACCTCTCTTTCTCTCTAAACATTTCAAAACCCTATTTTCTCCCACTTTCTCACTAAAACTCACTTATTTCCCTCAAATACACATAGATCTGTCGGTCTTTTCACCCGTGTGCCTTCATTAAAAAGGTAGAGCTCGACGTGGGTGTTGTTCTAACCGTAGTAAAGTTGATTTTTGGCGTCTTTGGATTTCCCTCACTCTCTCTCTCTCTCGTGTTCTAGCTTGAGGTGGGGATACTTTCCACACTTTTTTATGCGTTTTAACTTAGTTATTTGTTATTTCTAAATAACATTGAGAGTTTTGGAAGATTTGGAATAACTTAATCAAAAAAGGGTTTTTTCAAATAGATTCTTGGAAATGATTTTTATGCTGGAAATAATGTTGAGTTGGGTGGAAATGGTTGATTTTGATATTTGGAATTGATTTTGAAAGGAGTAAAAAATTAGCCTTAATTATCTCAAATGTTGGTTTTGTACAAATAATTAAATTGATGTTGAAATTATGAAATTGGCTTGGTATTGATAAGGATGGTGAAGTTGGATATGTATGATCACTCACCTCGTGAGATTTGGAAAGTTTATCATTATGGAATATGAACTATCTGTTTAGAAATATCTATTTTAGGCTATTGATGGAGGAGAGCCATGATTGTTGTAGAAATTACATGTGAATTAGGAGAATTGAAACTATTTTCTTATTCATTTGCATCGAGCATTATTTCACACTTATGCATTGAAAATGTTTATTGTTTTGAGAAAAATGGTGAATCTGGGAAACATGAATTTAAATGTAGAATTAAGTTGGCCTGAGTGTCCAGGGTGAAAGTCTCGAAAACTGCGCGTATATATGGGTGCCGATCCCGCAGACGAAATTTCTATGAAATAAAAATAGTAGTGCTTGTATAGCCTACGTTTACATGGGTCCTGGTTTACGGTTTCCTCTGGACGAAATTTCCGGGAAAGGTTGTATTGTTTTGAAATTTCCAAAGTGTGATTCACTGCCATTCTCTATTGTAAAAGAAATGATCTATGAACCATGATATTAAATTGGCATTGCATGGTTTTGGAAAGAGATATAAAAATGTTTTGACACGAGCATTGCATATACATTCACCTTATAGCTTTGTTAAGGTTCATATACTGTGCTGGATTATTTCTACTGGGCTTTGGCTCACCCTATGTGGGAAAAACATTGCAGGTGCTGATGATATGCCTCCGCCAAAGCAGTAGCTTGGGAGGATTTGGAGCAAGTGCTTCTTTTTGTTGTAGTCATTTTTGTATAGCTAAGGGCTTTAAATGTATTGGACCTAAAGTCCACTTTTGTTGTAACCAAGAACTATCTTGGAAAGTTGTAAGTCTTTAGGGCATTTCTTATCTGTTTATGTAACGACCCAATCTTGGCAAGGCAAAACCCTGCCAAGAGGGTGCACCTCAAACGCTATAGCACCTTTACACCACAATTCCTGTATAATTCATACATCACATCACCACATCACCAAAGGTGCATAAGACCTTTCAATTGCCTGACATATATGAGATGATCTATTCAAAGACAAAAAAGTATTATCATGCTACAAGATAGTTCCCAAGCATTTCCTCCCAAAAAAAATATAATACATACTAATCACGAATCCATCAATACATCCAACTTCATAAGCAATATTTACAATCAACCTCCTTCATAAAAAAAAGGGTAAGCTTGCATCCTAGAATGACCCTAAGCAAAACCTCAACCACAAGATGCCCACCTGTGATCCTTCAAAAAAATTATAGTCTTTCAAGTTGAGGCGAGCCACACAAAAGTCTATGAATCTAAAAAAAAAATTATTTAAAAGAATGAGCTAAAGCCCAATGAGTATACCAATACCATGGAGTTATAAAACTTGCTCCTACCAATAGGGTTCAAAATAAAGATACTAAACATAAGAGCTTAATTGGACTTCAATTTATACAAAATAAAAATAAAAATGATGAAATACAATTTTCATAAAACGTTATCAAGATTTTTCCAAGGAATCTCATAAGGCAGAAAAAAAAACATACATTTGGATAATGAAAGTAAACAAAAATATAACTTTTCAATACATTAAGATTTCCTGTCCATCATACAATCCACTACATAGCCTTAGGGTCGCGTTACCTCGCGACATAGGTGGTGACGGTACCGTTACCCAAAACATAACCATAGGAACATAGCTCATGTCATCGTAGCACTTCAATTCTCGTTTCAATGTTTCGGTCCCCAGGACCCCTTATACATACAACGACCCTTATGGTCCTTAAAACATTTCGGTCCCCAGGACCCCAAAGCATTTTGGCCCTTGTGGCCCCAAAGGCTATATTCGGTTATATGATCAATAAAATAAATACCCTCACATAACATTTCACTGTCATTCAATCATCATCATCATAAAATTTGAAAGACTCAACTTAAATAAATTCTCATAAAAAAAAAATTAATGCTTCATTATACAAATGAAATCATATCTTTATTAAAACTCAACCCTTGGCCTCAATAAATTTATAGATTTTCTTTTTATACATATATCATGATGAAATGTATCATTCACTTCCTTTAATTCAAAAATTATTTTCAAACTTTGTAATAAAGATAGAGGTAAGGTAATTTCCATGGTAAGTATACTCACCTCCAAAAATAGCAAAAGTGTAGATTTGAAACTCTACAAATTAATTTCCAAGAGGTGGAGAGATGCCTTCCTCCAATCCTAACAATTAGTAAATAGGATCTCAAATTAGGAAAAGCTTTCAATGAAAATTACAACATCTACAAAAATGATCCTAAATAAAATTATGCTAAGGAATGGCAAGCTAAAGAACTCCTCCAACTTTAAATCACCCAAACAAATAACTTATCCAATCTCCATAACACCCATCCTTTGAACATCTTTGAGTTAGTAACTTTTTAAATATCCAATCAATTTATATGCACAATACCACCATCAATTTACTACAAAAGTCAAAAATCAACATTTTTGTATAAACTCAACAACTTAAGTAAAATCTCTTCAATCACTTATATTATTTCACACTTATGCATTGAAAATGTTTATCGTTTTGAGAAAAATGGTGAATCTGGGAAACATGAATTTAAATGTAGAATTAAGTTGGCCTGAGTGTCCAGGGTGAAAGTCTCAAAAACTGCGCGTATATATGGGTGCCGATCCCGCGGACGAAATTTCTGTGAAATAACAATAGTAGTGCTTGTATAGCCTATGTTTGCATGGGTCCCGATTTATGGTTTCCTCTGGACGAAATTTCCAGGAAAAGTTGATTTGTTTTGAAATTCTCAAAGTGTGAATCACCATCCTATTTTCTATTGTAGTGGAAATGATTTGTGAATCAAGATATTAATTTGGCATTGCGTAATTTTGAAAAGAGATATAAATATGTTTTGGCAAGAACATGGCATATGCATTCACTTTATAGCTTTGTTAAGATTCATATATTATAATGGATTATTTCCATTGGGCTTTGGCTCATCCTATATGGGAAAAACATTTCAGGTACTGATGATATGCCTCCACCAAGGCAGTAGCTTAGGAGGATTTGGAGCAAGAGCTTCTTTTTGTTGTATTCATTTTTGTATAGCCAAGGGCTTTAAATGTATTGGACCTAAAGTCCACTTTTGTTGTAACCAAGAACTACCTTGGAAAGTTGTAAGTCTTTAGGGCATTTCTTATCTGTTTAACTTCCATTCTTTTCTTTTATTTGAAATATATGCTATAGATTTAGGGTTAGGCATTATGAATGTATATCGCATATGTTTTCCTTTTTGCAATCTTAATTAGATTTAATGGAAGATAATTATTTTATTATTATTGTCGTATATTAACATTGTGGATGGATTACGGTATTTATTTCGGGGTGTCACAACTTCCTTCCGTCATCAAGCACTAATGATTCAAAAAATATATTTAATTTCTAACATTGAGCATGTTAGTCTTTTAGAGACATGGAATTCAACACTTCGGTAGATAACATTTCAAGAAGCAATTTATCTCACACCATTTTATTCATTTATATGCACTTTTTGCCTCCTATCTTTACTCCCCCTCATCCCACACCCACACATCCTCTATGTTTTTTTTAATCCATGTAGCAAATTCCCTCTTTCTCTACTCCCCCTCATCCCACAACCACACACCCTCTTTGTTTTTTAATCTATATAGCAAATATTTTATGCACCCAGACACATGTGGCCACCACCCAAGAAACTATTATATATAAAAAAAATGTTTAATAGAAACACATTCATATATAAGTAAAAAAAGAGATTTACTAACCAAGAAAAAGACTTTTTTTTTTTATAACCCTTATGGATATCTTTGGCACCACAATGCAGGGAGTGTTCATTTCAAAAATCTTCAAACCACAATCTCAAAAGAAAGATTTCATAAACTCACAACTAAGATCCAATTGAGAGCATTCAAACTATTTAGAAGTAATGCAAACAAAAAACAAAAAATTGCAAAATTTTTTGGTCTTTCCCAAAAACAATGAATAATAATAAAAATAATTAGCAAAGAGAACATCATCCAAAAAATAGATAAATTCATAAACTCAACCCAGTCAAGCAAAGGGGCACTTTTTCCTAACCCCAATCAAAAGTTTAGCAAAGGGGAACTTTTTCCTCTGCCAAAAGTTTGATCATTTGATTAATCTCCCTTCACCTTCCATTCCTTGTGAATTAATAAACACATCAAACAAATCAAATAGAGAAATAATTTATGAAGCATTTAGTGAACATATGAAAATGGTTTTTCGATCAAAAAATTTATCAAGCATTTGGTGAACATTGTAATAGTAGAAATTATATAGTGGTAAAATCAATTATTTTGAACATCAATTATTTCAAAATTATACCCAAATCCTTAGGATGGAATGAATAACAATAAATTTAATTAAAATAACAAGAAATAGGTTGTAATTTATTCCAAGTGACATGAAGAAGTTGGTCTTTGAACTATGGAATCAAGTAAAAGATCAAATCATCAACTTACAACATGAATGTACAAAAACTGAAAAATAGAAGCAAAAAAAAGGGATGGAATCTCGATTATCTCTATTGATGGAGCCTTTAGAACTATTCTCCTCACCAAATTTCAATGCGTCCGTCACATGTACAAAGCATTAACAATAAAAGCATAAGCCATACATGAATTGATAATTTCTCTACAACACTCCAACTTAACAAAAAATTGGGCATTGATTTTAGGAGAAAAGATCTTTCATACCTAAAACTAATTCCCTGCAACAACAATATATATATATATATATATATATAACAATAAAAGGCAGGTGTGTCCAACACAGATGAAGGAGCTGAAGGGTTTGAAGGGTTTGTAGAATTTGAAAGGAAGATTCATCTTAATTTTATATAGATTTCAACAACGACAAAAATAAATAAATCTATAAATAAAACTAACAAAACTCTATTGACTTATGAATATAATGTTAAGGGCAATAAAAAGATATGAACAACTAACAAAAGTCTACAAAACAGTGATATCATAAGGAGAAAACCCGGAATTGAAGTCATAGAAACAAAGAAAAATAATAGAAGGATTAGTTAAAAACTGCATATAAAAATCTTAGTAACACAAACCTAGAACCAAAACAAAACAGAACACAAACACAGAAACACAATAATAATAATAATAATAATGAAAAACCCAGAAACACCAATCAATTTAAGGTTAGAAATAGAATGCAAACAAAAATTCTTAGAAACACATATCAATTTAAGGTTCAAAAAAGGAAAATGCTATGGACCCCAAATAAATTACCAATTTTTTTACCAAATCACTCACATGGGTGTGGAACCCACACAAATCACATGTGTGTGGATCCCACAGCCATGTGAAATATTTGGTAGAATATTTGATAATTTATTTGGGGTCTATAACATTTTTCTTTGTCTTATGTAGTTAATTTTGTCTTTTTATATTTTTTTAACCAAAAATCTAAAACCATGTGAAACTTAAATATAAAAAATGAATTTAAAAAGTGAATTTATATAACATTTTTTCTTTATTTTTTATTTATTTTTTTATTTTTTTAATATGCGCGTATACATTATTTGACATAAAAATCTGATCAACCTAGGCCGAATCCAACTGTAGATGTGTGTCTCGAGCTTATAAATAAGGGTTAATTACATCAATAACTTTTTAATTATTAGTAAATATTATCTTAAAAAGATGAAATAAAACATAAGACTTAGGCCAAGTTTGAGAAGGCTAAACAAGTGTACTTTTTGACTTTTTTTGTATTATGTGTAGAAAAAGTAGAGAGAAGATGTTGATTGATATGACCCAAAAAAGATAAAAAGATGAAATAAGTGCACTTTTGGCTAAACTAAAAAAGTGCACTTATTTCATCTTTTTATCTTTTTTGGGTCACATCAATCAACATCTCCTCTAAAGAGAGAAGATAGGATTGGAACCAACCTAAGAATATTTTGAACTCCGAGTTTCTTGGGATCGTGGGTGTTATAAGATGTTTTGTAGGACTTCTCTAGACTAGCTGCACTTTGACTAGGTTGGACTAAAAAAGGATATAATTTGATGGATGATCGCTTGGTGAAAAGTCATTCCAAGAGCGTAGACTAGATTGACTACTCCCCACGTTTTGATAATTCCAGAAGGGGTTTGGAATACACATGTCTATTGTGATGCGTCCGGAATGGGCTTGGTTGTGTTTGATGCAGAGGGAAAGTTGGGCCTAAGTTCACGACAATTGAAAACTCATGAGAAAATTAATCCACACCCATGATACCTAGAATTAGCAGCGGGATTTTTGCTTGAAAATTTGGAGGCATTACTTGTACGTTGAGAAGTTTTAAAGTCTTCTCCGATCATAAGAGTCAAGTATTTGTTTTCATCAAAATAATTGGAATTAATGACAACGAAGTGATGGAATTTAATGAGGATTATGACTTGTTACACTATCACTAGGGACAAGCCATGTGTGGCCTGATGCCTTTAGTCAAAATCTTGACTAGTGGAGTGTGGCCATTCAGGCTGATGGGATATGCTAGAAATGTATTGGCAAGTTTGATTTGCACTTGGGTGAGTCTGGAGAGAGTGTACTTGTTTACTTTGAATGCTCAACCTACTCTGGTTAGTAAGGTCATAGAGGCCAGACGAGGGTGGATGTGGAAATCAATTCGTGTTAAATTTCCAACATAAGGAGAGAAAGGTTTGAACGTTCACTCCGACTCTGGAAGTGTACATTACTACCGTTGTTTATACCAAAATCTGCAGAGGGAAGTTCTCGGGTTCTATCATCACGACTGGTACACCAGGAGGAGAAATGTATCATATTCGTTGTCGTCGTTTGGTGGAGGGGCATGAAACAGGTGTCACTTTATTTGTAGTCGGAAGTGCTTAAATTGTCAAAATGACGGACCGAACACACAAAGACCACGGGTTTGTTAACACCTCTTAACGACTAGCCGAGTGGAAATGTGGGAGCGGTAGTTACATGGATTTGTGTTGGGTTCCTAGAACATCAACGAACAATGCGCCATTTGGTGATGGTCTGATCGTAGATAAGTCTACCTTTCATTCGATATGCCCAGCAACTTAGCCCAAATGTTGGTAGAGTTATACTTAGAGAGATAGTTCACATAGGTAGTCCCTGTGACTATTCTGTGTCGGATAGGGATCTTGTTTACTGCCCAGTTAGGACAAAGCCTTTCAAG